CGAGCAAGAAAAAAAAAAAAAAAAAAAAAAAAAAAAAAAAAAGAAAAAAAAAAAAAGAGAAAAGGCCGCGAGCCGCGGTGACGAGGTAGTCCCCAAAAGCGGACACGGAGGGGACCGTTGACAAGCAGCACAGCAACACGTCCACGCTGGTTTCGGAAACACGGACAACACCAGAAAATATATAAATTTCACTTAAATTGCAGTTCGGTGTGGGTTTCCCCACCCCCACCCCCCCAAAAACCAAAATGTCCTCGATGACGCCCTTCTTTCCGGGGTGGCTCTTGTCCCTCGTGGCTCCGTTCAGGACCCTGCGCCCCACGGCGCGGTCACCATGTCCTCCTAAAATAATTCAATTATCTGAACCCCGGGGGAGGTTCTTGACTTCGTCCCCGTCCCTCCTCTTCCTCCCCCCTTCCCATTCACAAGGTCCTGGGCTCGGTGGGGTGATAGGGAGGGCGGGGGTCCTCATGTGTGTCCCCCCCCCACCTTGGTGACCCCATCACAGAGCACCACATCATCTCACCATGCCCTTGATTTTGGGCTAATTCGGCCCAAATTGGTCAGAGCCCCAAGGCAGGGCGGTGCCTCGCATGGGAGTGTGTAATTAGCACGCTCATTAATGCACAGTTAGTGCAAGGGCGGGGCAAGCACCATCGACTTGCTCATTAACACATAATTAGCGCATCGCCGGGGCGATTTGGAGGTTGAGCGTCAAAAGCCATCGCCAATAGCGGCTCCCGTTGACCGCCGGCTGAAATTGAGGGAAGAACGTGAGATTTTGGGGCTCCTTCAAACAAGTTTCAAACCACGTGGGGTGGTCGCCCTCTCCTTGGGGGGGTGGGTGAGGATCCGAACCAGGTGGGGTGTCCCGAGGGTCCCTCCGTGATGCACAGGCAGCATTAATATCCTCGGTGACATCATGGTTGTGTCAGCGATGACATCCGGGTTGTGCCATCGGTGACATCCCGGTTGCACCAGCTGTGACACCCTGGTCCTACCATCGGTGACATCATGGTTGTGCCATCAGTGACATCCCAGTTGTGCCATTGGTGACATCTTTATTGTGCCAGCAATGACATCACAATTGTGCCACCAGTGCTATCCCGGTTGCGCCAGCAATGACGTCATGGTTGTGCCAGCAGTGACGTCCTGGTCCTACCATCGGTGACATCACGGTTGCGCCATCGGTGACGCCGGGGTGGTCAGGGAGCCAGGCAGGTCCCCAGGACACGTCACGCGGAGCC